GCATTAGACATCCGACAACATTCATATTTCTCTTACTTAAACCCCTTCCACTCACCTCGCCTAAAATTCTCTCTGTTAAGGTTTAATCTCCCCTTCTCTAGTCTGTTACCCCTCTCTTTAGCTCTAACATTCGTCCCACACTCTCATGCCCTCTCTCTAAATTCTGTTTTTTATTTCCGGAGTTGTTTTTCTGTTTTCTTTTTGAATTTTTAGGTCTGGAGAATTGGATCGTATTTACGATTCCAATGGAATAAATTATGACCATGGAATATTAGTGTTGAAGCATTTTTATTATATATATATATATATATATATATATATATATATATATATATATATATATGTATGTATGTATCTATGTAAAAATAATCCGTAGGTAAGTAATCCAGGTAGAACCTATTAATATAAAATATTAAAACTGATCCACAAGAGACCTCAATATAATTTTTATTATAAGGAATACAAGCGAATTACAATTAATGAGATCCAAAAGATTTACCTGATACTCGTAAAACGTTTGCATTTCATTAATTTTAATTCCCACTCCCACAGACAAACACATACACGCACGCACACACACACCCACACACACATACATATACCTCTCTCTATATATGAGATAACGATATATATTTTTTATATTGATGAAATTTTACGACAAAATTGAAAACGTTTCTTTGTGACGCTTGACATTGGTTAGTACTTCATCGGACTGGGTTTGTTGACTTTGTCGGGATTACACATGCGCATGAACGAGAGACGCTGGTAATTTCAAAAGTTTTTGAAATCATTTTTCCTGAAATAATTTTTGCAAGCTAGCCAAATTCTTCTATATTCTTTCTCCCTTTCTATTCGTCATCTTTGGTTTTGAACTTCCTCCACCCCTTTTCTGACAAAATTGGTGATACGTTGTCAGAGGCTGGATGTAAATTTACTCCGGCTGAACAAGTGATAATAGCATTTTCTACACATTTTCGCTTTAGTGAATTATTTTTTCTTTTTTAATTAGTGTGGCATTTTTGTCTAAATTGTGATCAGTTTCCTTACGGTGAACAATCAATGGCCTTTGTGTTTTGATTGTATATATATATATATATATATATATATATATATATATATATATATATATATATATATATATAGGTGTGTGTGTCTTTAACATGATTTCTTCTTTAATAAGAATTCTAATTAAAGAAACCATAATACGATTTCTCAAACATTTAGGCCGGTAGACTAAGATAAATATATATACATTTTTTTTACAGTAAGGTTCACACTGTACAAGGCCCGGGAGCCACACAAGGTAGAACGATATGTTAAAGTATAATTTATACAGACGGGAGGGGGAGGTAATTTTGCGGACTTTACCAGGAAGATGGATTGTGCGTGCGAGCGATAAATAGAATATGCTGTTGAAATGACCACCACGTTCACCTGACTTAAACCTTGCTTTTTTTTTTCTTTTTTTTTTTTTGGTGGCTGTGTATACGAAATGACAAGTCTATATCCCCCCTCTTTCTACAAGTTCAGAGGGACGCAAGCAGAGAATCACTGAGGCACTGGAGGAATGTTACGCATGACATGCTACAGCGTGTTTGGCATGAGTTGGACAACCGAGCTATCGTGTCAAAAGTGGTTCGCAGATTTAACATTTATGAAGCTTTGTGAATTCGGTTACAAAATCCACATCCCTTATTATACCCATTTATATATATATATATATATATATATATATATATATATATATATATATATATATATATAATATATATATATAAATTTAATGAAAAAAAGAGACACTTTAAGGTACCATTACTAATGGTACCTTAAAGTAATCGTACCTTAAAGTGGTCTGTTTTTCATTAAATATTAGCCCTGTATTCATATTGAGCTCTCAGGATTTCATCCTCCTTGGAATTACACATTCGGTTTACCAAGTTCTTTCATAACTTAAATATATATATATATATATATATATATATATATATATATATATATATATATATATATATATATATGTATGTATATTAAATAATAGGTCTTGAATTTAACCGTTTATTTCGTATTTTTTTTAAAATTATAGTCACGTATATTTGTTTGGAAAGACTGTTTATTTTAGGAAATTATGTCTGAAAAAATCAGATTTATATTTTGGCAAGATTCGATAGATCACGCTCAAGAATCTTCCATCTAAGTTGTGCTCTTGCTCCAGGATGAAACAGCCGACTCTGCCTTTGAATTGCTACCCCATCCCTTTTACTCACCAGATTTAGTTCCATCTGAGTTCTTCATGTTCCCTAAACTCACATACCGCATGCGTGGATGCCATTTTGGAAACAATGGTGAAATCTTATGTGCAGGGGATAAGTTTTTAGATGACTAGAACGTCGACTTCTTCCGTGAATACGATGAAGCTATATTGAAAAATGAAAAAAACTATCTTGTTTCTCTAACTCTTCCTTGGCGTGGCTTAGAACGTTTTGAGCTACCTTCGTAACACTAAAACAAACTAGCAACCCGCTACAAATTGGTAACGCACTACCTTAAATTTTGAGGAAATAATCATATATTTGTGGGAAGATTTTCTTAGCCGGGCAGAGATTTTAACATTACCTCATATATCTACTGCATGTTTAGTGTATAGACTTACATTACAGTCATTTTCTACCGAGGTACACCGTATCTGAGTGTGTGTATGTGTGTTTCTTAATAACTAGCAGGTTCTTGGTGGAGCCTTTCCCTCGTGAAAAGAAATCAATATTTCAAAACGCAGACACATAAATCTTTTCCTGCTTTCTTGTGATCTACGTTCTTCTGTCGTCTCCTCTATTGCCAAACAGTTCCTTTCCTTACAAGAACCCTTATCGCTAACCTACTACTCCGACTTTAACATCGACTTCATATATCCTTACCACCGCTATCCTTCTTTAAAGGCCCTCCTCTTACCCGAACGCGATTAACATGGGTCACTGGTCACTCTAATACAAATGGTGTTCGTTTGTGTGTGATAGTCTCCAAGGCCGCCTTCAATGTACTTAACTGTGTATAGTATTTGATTTTATAGTAGTTCTTCGATGACAAATATTTATGTCATGAAAGTCAGTCCTTATCTTTTCTTTTCAGATTTCTTTCTCTGTAGAATAGAAATTTACAAGAACTTTTTTTTTTTATATTAATGTCTTGGTTTGTCTTTGAGCTTAAAAACATTGCTGGGATTCTATTTTTTCGCGTTTCAGGTTGTCTCTCGGGAAAAGAATGTTATTAGGCTTGGCCCGCTTGAAGTAAGAACAGTGTTATCTTTGTTTTCCATTAAATGAATCGTTCTAAAAATTATTATTAGTAGTATTATTATTGTAGTAGTAGTAGTAGTAATAGGGGTATTATTATTTAGATTTTATTTTTTAAGAGACCAGAATGTCATGCACGTAAACAAATTCAAATATACGAATCCCTAAAATTATTCTGAATTTTTTTTCTCGCCATTTTATATCATTAACTTTACTAATCTACTTTTTCTATGATTGATTCATGTAATATAAATTGAACTGCATCACATATTTGATAATTTTTAAAAAGGGTTAGAAAGAACTAAATCTAGATATTTTTAAAGGTTTTATTGAAATTTTATTTAAGTTTCCACATATCCTCCATCATTAGCAATACAAAGATTAATACGATTTTGCAGTTCACGGAAAGCATTTGCCAACTGATTTACAGTAATGCCTGAAATTACATTAGTTATTTTAGCTATACTTAAAACTAGTTGCATTAAACTTTATAACATTTTTACAGATTATTTCTATCGCAAATACAAATGAAGTTATAATTTTTTAAAGTGCACACGAACTTTATGGACACCCTGTATATATATATATATATATATATATATATATATAAACTGTACTCACAAGTACATCTCACACATTACGAAGAGATTTATCGATGCAAAATATATGTGATCTTCACTTTGCTTTTTACAAAAAATGAAGAGTGGGAACTGTCATGAAACCATTTCTGACCTTAGATGTCTAGTTTAGACCCAGAAAGAAATGTGTACACAACAAAAATCCAATGAAAAACAACAACAACAACAACAACAACAACAACAATAATAATAATAATAATAATAATAATAATAATGAGCGAGAGAATAGCACACAGAAATGGTGCTATTGTATAAATATGCAAAGACCAATATAGATACATACATCACAGCGAAATATATCGATATGGTTACAGGTTTTGGTCAGAGCAAATCAATATTTCAAAACGCAGAAACATAAATAAGTCACATACACACATACACAGACACACACTATCCGTAAAAGGGAAAATGTATCAATGGACAATACAATGCATCAGAATTAAGACAACTGAAGGAAGCGATCAAGTCTAAACGCAGAACGAAGATGATGGCAGGTGAGCTTTTGCTCCAGGATGAAACATCCAACTGCTCAAAACCCACCAACAGAGATGCAATTTTGGAAACAATCATGAAATCTTATTGACCGGAAAGAAGTTTTTGTGGGGACCAGGACGCCACCTTCTTCCATGATGGGATTGCAAAGTTTAAGCATCGTTGGAATCAAGTGCAATTGATGTCAAGGGAAACTATATTGAAAAATCGAGAAAAACTATTTTGTTTTTGCAACTTCTTCGTGGTGAGGCTTAGAACGTTTTGAACGGCCCTCGTAAAACTAAAACAAACTGACATATCGCTACAAATTTTACTTTGCCGTCAAAATTCACGGCAAGAAGGAATATGCTATAAGTAATATGTCTTATATTGCAAGGAATTTTCGTTTAATCCAAGTACAATTTTTTCAATATTACAAATGAGGTGACCCACCCGCTTAAATTCACGTTATATTTGTTTTTGAAAAGAAAAAAAAAAGAACTATAGTTAAATAAAAATTATGAGATACAGACACGAGTTACGGACAGCATTAATCGTGTTTAATATCTATATATCTATCTATGTCCGTTTCATATTTATTTATATGTGTCTATTCAGGACTCTCTATCTATCTACTTCTATTCATATCTATCTATCTATCTATCTATCTATCTATCTATCTATCTATCTATCTATCTATCTATGTATATCCGTTTCATATATATCTGTGTCTATTCAGGACTCACTATCTATTTACTTCTATTCATATCCTAATTCATATCATATCTATCTATTTATCTATCTATCTATGTCCGTTTCATATCTATCTGTGTCTATTAAGGACTCACTATCTATTTACTTCTATTCATATCCTAATTCATATCATATCTATCTATTTATCTATCTATCTATGTCCGTTTCATATCTATCTGTGTCTATTCAGGACTATCTATCTACTTATTGGAAATGGGTCCCAGGCAGAGAAAAAAAAAACTTCATCTCAGATAAGCCATTCCACTCCGATGGTCTCAGAATGGGTGGAGGGGGTGCGGAGTGTTCGAAATTGTTGCACCAAACCCACCTCGGCGACGTCATCGTACAAAGATATATACTGGGTGACCCCAAAAAATGGGAATTTTTGAAGTGCGTATTGCCAGACATGAGCGACTTTGAGCAAGTAAACATTTCGCCATTTAGAATTCAAGATGAAATTCACAGTATCCCAGCTGAGATGTTGCAGCAGTCAATGAGGAATCTCAACAGCAAATTTCAAGAAAGCATTCGTACAGGAGGACGCCATCTACAGGACGTAAGTTTAAAAAAATGAAAATTCCATCATTGTTTCTTAAATGGCATGTTTTAAGGGTTCAATTACTATGAAGAAAATATTCTTCTTCCATCACTGGGGCGGTCTTTTTGTAGTTTGAACGTGAATGGGTCTTGACTTCTCTGCGCCTCAAATCATAATTTTGCACACAGCCCCTCAACTGTTTCACACCAAAACCTATATATATATTTATATATATATATATATATATATATATATATATATATGGTGAATTATATATAAGGATAATCTTAGCGTTTTAGCTGTTTTCATCTTAACTATATACAAATCATCTATCTATTGCGGTCGCAAATAGCTCCAGTAGCTACATGAGACATTTATTATATAGAATAACCAGAGAGGATCACTTACCATTTTGGTGTTACGATAGTATGATATCTACCGTCCACTTTCTTCTATGGTATGATATCTACCGCTCATTTTCTTCTATGGTATGATATTTACCATTCATTTTCTACTATGGTATGATATTTACCAAATGCTGGAAGTATGAAATATGATTAGGGTTTAAATTCAGGGGTTAGGGTTAGAGTTAGGTTTGGGGTTAGAGTTTGAGGTTAGGTTTAGAGGTCAGGGTTCGGGTTAGAGTTAAAAGCAGCGAACAGTAAACTGGTTATGTAGTAAAAATCATTAACAATTCTTTATACAACAATCAAAAAAATCAAAAAAAAAATCATCAAAGATTTTTTTCCCGATTTTATTTTTAATTTCAAATAATCGATTCTCTTCTAAGTCATCTCTGAAATATGGATCGCCCGTAGCCAAGTATAAACGATTGACGTGAACTCACCTATTTTTTTTGTATCAACAGAACACTGACTCCAGAATATGCATTTCTCACCAACATAGATCTAGTGCAGAATGCCAAAGAGGTTTTTGCTTATATGTATTTCCCTCCGTTTTTCTTCAGAGATTTAAGGGAAATGCCAATTATTTATCTGCAGCAATGGCAGGACATAACGGTCGTGCTAACTTACTAATTAATGGTCGTACAAGCAAAATTATACAATTATGCAAAACTTGAACATGCATTAATTTTTTACGACCTCATTCCTGTCTCATCATTTCTTCATTCGGGTTGGGGTTAGCATTTAGTGATAGGTTTAGGGATTAGAGTTCGGATTAAGATTAAAGGCACCGAACAGTAAACTGGTTATGTAGTAAAAATCATTAACAATTCTTTATACAGAAAACAATTTAAAAAAAAAAAAGCATCAAATAGTGATTTTAATGTTTATAAGGTGGTTTGATGTCATTAACCTCCCCACCCCCAAAAAAACCCCCCAATAAACATGTCATCGTATTTCCTGAGCATTTTCCAGGAATAATGAGAGCATCGTCATTTGTGTTAGGTCACAAATGCCTCGGTAGATATCAAACTATAGTAGCACCCCCATTTCTTTGAAAATTTGGTTACATGCGATGCTTGCCCTTCATTGTTCTATCGTTACCTCAAGAGGAATTTTTGGTCACCCGAAAGAAATCGAGGGTGAGTCCAAAATTGTAAGCGATTAAAACACGAGGTGCATTGGCTGATCATCCCGGGGCAGGGGTTGTTTTGATCTCCTGTATAAATGCCATAAAATAGTCCTCGTCTCTTGCATCTCACCAACGGCTTGGAAGTGAGTTTGTGTTAAATTCACTCTTCTACGTCTGTTCTTATGATCTGCTAGTAGACGATATATTCGGATGTATGGCACGAGATAGAATCGCCCGAGACTTACAGTTGAATATACGTGTTTACCTATTTCTGCACCGATGACTGTGACACAAAAGTGTGCTACTCGGTATTAAGCTAGTACAGAAGACGGCTCTAGCCACGGGCGGTTCTTCCGCAGTTTGTGCAGTGTCAATGGAATTCAAGATGAAAAGGTCATCATCTTTACTGGTAAAATTACAAGACACGGAAGATTTACAATCGGAAAAAAAAAATCACGGAATATTTTTGTCTGTATTATTCTCAACTTACTGAAGATATCATGAGAAAATCGACTTCTTCTTTTCGCTTTCCTGTCGCCAGATAAAGAGAAAATGTTTGTACGCAGCTCGAGATATATGGATTTTTCTATGAGAAAATTCGCGCTATTATATGTGGAGCATCAAATCACAACATAAGTTTTTGTTGAATATCCATCTCTCTCTCTCTCTCTCTCTCTATATATATATATATATATATATATATATATATATATATATATATATATATATCGATTATCATATCTATATATTATCATTCAAAGCCAGCATAGCCAAACTAGAATTATGATACAATTACACATATCTATCTATCTATCTATCTATCTATCTATCTATCTATCTATCTATCTATCTATCTATCTCAGTTTCTTCAATATCTATGGCTGTTCGTATCTATCTATCTATCTATCTATCTATCTATCTATCTATCTATCTATAAGAGTCTATTCAGTATCTATCTATCTATCTATCGATTATCATATCTACATTATTCAAAGCCAGCAAAGAAGCTAGAATTACGATACAATTACACACATCTTTCTATCAATTTCTCTATCTATCGCAGTCTATTCGTTAGCTATCTTCGTTCTCTCTTTCTCTTTCTCTCTCTCTCTCTCTCTCTCTCTCTATATATATATATATATATATATATCGAATCATCCGCATAGGCTATAGGCAAACAAGAATTATGAGACACTTACACAGGGACGCTGCTTGACTTGTGAAATGCACGTGATGCTTGCTTAAACAATGAAAAATTAAAAGTACAAATACAAGATGCCATAATTTTTTCCATATCTCATTCTCTGAGGAAGTTTTAATAAAAGCGAAACATGTTAGTTCTCTAAACGTTTCTTTTGTTTTTTTTTTATCCAATCATTCTCTCGGATTCCGATTCACATTTAATTTGCATTTGATCCCAATTCATTCTTTCTTACTGTTGACACTTGACCAATGCATGGAATAATAATACAACACAAAATGTACTTAGAACAAAATGTATTGAAACAAGAAAGTGTATACAATATTTACATATAGTCTTTTGTATATTCCTGGTAAGACCGTTCCTGGATAATGTGTTGACTGAGTCGCAGTCGGGCAGAGTCTCTGGTTGAATCTCTTGATTCCTCCCTCTCTGCCCGGTACCAACCATATTTATATGGTCGGTACTCCACTATGCAAATTAGGTGGATCCTACCACAACACTTACTTTTTTTTCTATATCTCTATCTGCTCCTGAACATATCTATCTATCTATCTATCTACATATATATATATATATATACATGAATTATTCACACAAAACTAATGCAAAGGTTAATGATTTTAAATGGCGAGACATCCATCTCGCAAACAATTCAAATATTACACAAAAACCTTAGATCCGTTATGAATGAATTGATCCTTGTTCATATAAATTTCTGCCGTATTAGTTGTTATTTTTACACAAGCTTTCGTCTGTTCATACAGACATCTTCAGGTATATAATAGATGTTGTTCTTGTTTTTTTCTCTTAGTAATAAGAGGACATCGAAAATATATGTGTATTGTATCCGAAATGCTATTGAAAATGAGATATTGGTTTTTGAACGCGCCAAAGCAACGCTGAGTTTGATTTTTGAATTTCTTTTGTTAAAATGTTCGCGTTATTGTTCAATAATTACAGTAATGTCGCACTTATTAACCAAAAGTCGCACATGGATCACTTATTTAAATTACAATAAACGTGCAATCAATTTACAAATACATGAATTATTCACACAAAACTAATGCAATAAGTGCGACATTACTGTAATTATTGAACAATATTGTTCATGTCACTTTGACAGTAAAATTTACCAGTAAAATAATTTGTTCATTACCATATTTGGTACAAACGCAAACATTTTGAAATTTGAAAGTCACATGTGTCATTTGACTGCCGCTTAGTGACGTAGTGACGATAGTAATTCATTCTTTTTTTTTCAAAAGCCAAACTGAGCCTGATCCAAGGCACCCGGGACGATGCTAAATCTGCCTCCCCATGTAGATTACAAGTCCATGATACCGTTTCCCTTTAGGAATATATCTTTCCCAGATATGGAAAAAAACTCCGGTTCGTAATCCTCGTTTGAATCTGGTGTACTAAACATGACTTCTCCAGGCACAGGAGTATCTCTATATTATATGTAACAACCTTCTTTTGTACATCCTTCCAGTTTGCTCTTCTGTGTATATATATCTGATACATTGTTTTCCCCGTGGCACACGTATATATATATATATATATATATATATATATATATATATATATATATATATATTTCTTTCTAGTATAAATGTCTGTCTTAGAACAAAATATGTTTTTCCTTCCTTTTCTTTTTGGCCATTGCGCTCCGTCTGTGAAGTATGGAGTTATTATAGTGATTTTTCAAAATATAGTTTAGATGCAGCACAACGCCGAAAGTATGGGGCACCCAGTGAGGATCGAATTCACTAATCAGTCGTAATTGTTCTAGCGAGACAAGCTTGTTAACCATTACCCCGCCACGAGGTTCCCAGTTATTATATCACAGGGGAAAGCAACTTAGAGAATAAATCTTTCGTCTGTAGGTCTTTCTCGCTCTTATTTAACTTGAAAACTTCTTTAGAGAAATTTAGAATTTATACCGAGAGGAAACAGCCTGCTTACGAATATAATGAATTGAGAAAGTATGGAACTACACTGAAAAAGGCGTACAATGTACGTCTTCTCGATAGATTTATTTAACCTTTAGATTGAGGAGATCTTAGAAACCATAATGTTTAAAAATGCCTTACAACGATCATATGGGATATGTGCACTATAGCTGCGATATCCCGTGACGTATGCAGATTATTTTTAATTATCATTTCAAGATGGTCATCAACGACGATTGTGATCCTGGGGGCATTTTTTTCAGTTTGCCAGACAAAAATTACAATTTTTGAGACTAGCGAATCACTTCCCGCCAATTTTCACACCACCATAATTATCCGTTTTATATTTTTTTGATTCTTTTTAATTCATTTCCTCTCTCCGGAAAGTAAAGAGGATGGAATAACGAAAAATGAAGATCATTTTTCTCCATTTTTCCCAGTCCACACAAGAATCGTACAAAAAAGACGCCTTGAAACACTTCCATTTCATAATGTACAACTTCTATTCAACATCATTGTCAACGTCCTGCGAGTAGGATTCTGATTCAATTTTATCTTACATCCGTACATGTACTTTCTTTTCTTGACATAAACTGTAAAAAAAAAAATTGTTAAATTATTCTATATATCCGAGCGCTTTCAGTTATTCTGTTAGTCATTATGAAGATATTTTTTTACTGAATATATAGATTTATATATACAGCTTGTCCATAAAGTTCGGGTGCACTTTAAAAATGTATAACTTTATTCGTATTTGCGATAGAAATAATTTGTAAAAAAGATTACAAAGAAGTAAATCTATATGTTTTAAGGTTTTATTGAAATTTTATTTAAGTTTTCACTTTTCCTCCATCATTAGCAATACGAAGGGTAATGAGATTTTGCAGTTCACGGAAAACATTTGCCAACTGATTTACAGTAATGCCTGAAATCATGTTAGTTATTTTAGCTATACTTAAAACTAGGTACATTAAACTTTATAACATTTTTTACAGATTATTTCTATCGCAAATACAAATAAAGTTATAAATTTTTTAAAGTGCACATGAAATTTTATGGATACCCTGTATATTTAATCATTAGAAATGGGAATCTTATTTTTTATTTTCCAAACACGGTCAGCAATCTGTGACCCTGTTCGTAGTTAATATTATTGGGTGTTGGCATTGTCAATTTTATTTTTTTTAATGCGACAAATCGATTACTTGAAACGGTAGATTTTATCAAATTTATCAATGGATCATGCACAATTACACATAAATGTAAGTATTTTTGAAATTTTGAATGCGAACTGAGTGTGGGTGTTACACTGCAAATTAAGCTTATAATTTTATTATGTAAAAATATTATTGTATTTATTATACAATTATTGTATATATAATGTATAATTATTTCATTTAGAATTTAGCATGTATTCATTTTATTTCCGACGTATTTTAATTTATTGCTTAAACGTTATTGATAGTGGAAATCCAATTTGAGTAGATGCTCTGTTTATTTATTAAACAATATATTTAATTATTTCAAACTACCGGCCTGATTATTTGAGAAAGTTTAGACATTCACTTAAAAAAAAAAAAAATAAAAAAAATAATAATGGCTAAAAAAATATCCGAAAGCGCTCGGATATATAGAAAATTTAGATATTTTTTACACCCTTTATCTCCAAAAAATAAAATAATTGTACGAATGCAAAAATATTTGAATAAAATGCTTTGACGTAGTACCTTTATACCCGCCTAAAATAATAATAATAATAATAATAATAATAATAATAATAATAATAATAATAATAAAAAAAAAAGAAAAAAGAGGGAGCTGAAAGGGAAAGAATTAGCTGGAGTCAAAAGAATTTACAATCATAGCAAACTACACGAAAAGTAACATTTAAAAGAATAAATGCTACATTTACCGTTTCTTCCTACATCGGAGCATGGCAAGAGTGACCTTCCACAAATGTTCAGTTTTCCGTCGCCAACGACAGATACTTTTCAAATTTTATGGGGTAGGCTGGACTTATACTACAGATTGGTAAGGGGGGCTGGATATCAAAGAATTCATTAAACAAAGGGGTAGAAGCAAAACAGTAAAAGTTATACTTTTCCGGTCATCTCTCAGCCTACTAGCCGCTAAAAGATACATTTTTAAATTTTCACTCAAAGACATGATAGTCAAAGGGCAGAGCATTGTACGAAAATCACACCTGAAGCCATGAAAAAGGTAAAGATAAATACAATATGATCCCTGTCAATGCGGATACATACACATGTAAATTATATATATATATATATATATATATATATATATACACACACACATACGGAAGAGAGACAGAGAGAGAGATAGATATTAGTAAACATGTACACATATGAGCAACGACAGAGATTTGGGATGCTTAAAGTAAGAGAGAAAAAGTGAAAAATAAAGTGAAAAATGGACACAGATGTCCGCTTAAGGTCGGGGGGACCGAAAATTTGAAATATACGTTAAACAACAACAACAAAAAAAATGCGTCACGGAACATGAAAGTAGTAAGCGTCTCTACTCCGTAATGAAGGAAGCCAACAAATTCAAAATGGAGTTCCAAATGGGCGTAGAGATGCAACTACAGCACAATACACCGGCTGAAACTGCAAAATACCTAAAAAAAAGATAGCTAAGACGAATGCAACAGACCAGTTACAGAAGCGATGGCAAGATAAACCGTTTCATGGCCAATACTCTGCCCGTACCAAACAAGCTGACGTAGACAAAACCCGTACCCATCAGTGGCTACGTAGTACAGGGTTGAAAGCGGAAACTGAAGGTTTTATCCTTGCTGCGAGGACCAATGCTTGCTAACTAGGAATTATCAAGCACATATACTAAAATATTGTGTCAGCCCAAAATGCAGATTCTGTGATAAATATTCAGAAACGATTGATCATCTTGTATCAGGTTGTACGGTGTTGGCACCCACTGAATATAAAACCCGACATGACAGAGTGGGCCAATATCTGCACGGGAAAATCTGCAACTTCTACGGGAAGAAAACTGAAAGAAACTGGTATGAACACCACCCAGACCCGGTTACGGAGATAGGACCTGTTACAATTCTATGGGACTACACAATACACACTGACAGAACAATCAAGGCCAACCGCCCAGATATTGTTATTAAAGACCGCAAGCAAAAACGGTGCCTCCTTATTGATATGGCAGTCCCTGCCGACTGCAATGTATCTTTGAAGATATTCAAAAAGTTGTCAAAGTACAAGGACCTTGAAATAGAAATCGCGAAAATGTGGCATATGGGAACATCAACAATCCCTGTTGTAGTTGGAGCCCTAGGACTGGTTAGAAAAGATTCCAGTAGACTAATTGAAGGGATTCCTGGAAGTCCATGCCTCAAGGAGATACAGAAAATTGTTCTGACAAGTACAGCTCACACCTTACGAAGGGCTTTATCTATGTAATCATTTTTTTTTTTTTTTTTTTTTTTGTCAGTGGAAAGTGTCATGACGCCATTTCTAACCTTAGGTCCCTGGGCGGGACCCGGAAAGAAATGTGTAAACGCCAGAAATCAAAGAAAATAAAAATAATAATAATAATAATAATAAATGGATAAAATACGGATTACTGCCCAAAATATACAATTTCAGAATATGCATATATTTCTCACAAAATATTTTTACTGCATTATTTAAAAGTATTATTACACAGTAATTCCTATCAAAGTAGCATTATCGGAAGAACATTAATTTTCCAAAACACACTGTATCCTATAAACTTAATGCAAATTAAAGCTCTTCTAGTTATACATAACAGGGAATAATTAATTTTACGCCATGTTAAGCCTTACTGTGTTATTTGACACGTTCGGTGGAGTAGAAGCGTATTAAAAAAAAAAAAAAAATCGAAAATTTCTTTATTCACTGTAAATTGTTCATTATATCATATCCAAGTATATTACCAAAAAAAAATAAACAAACAAAAAAAAACACAGACAACTGTACCATATTTCAAGGTCAATTTCAGTTTATCGTTCGTAAACTTGTAATGAGATGTGTTCACATAAAGCGTAGATTTGTCTGCGGAATATCATTACAGTATTGTTATATACTCATAATGAAATCATTAAGGTTTTTTTTTTTGAGAAGGTATTTTGTTTTTGGATGTATATTAATTTATATTAATTATATTCCTTTTTACAGCCTTTATTTTTGAAACGGAATAAAATCATTATAAATTTCAGAATTTTGCTGTTGCCTATCGAAATGACTGGAAGAAGAGCATTATAAAAACTACCAATGGAAAGGAGATGTAACGAAGCGTAAACTAAATAGCTCAAGTTTGTTCAGCTTAGGAAACTTAGCATTGTAGCCAAAGTATTTTAAAATGCTGCCAATAACAAAGGAGAAAATGAAAAATACCTAACATTAAATCGAATTATTTACATTATTCGGACTATTGACCTCATCTTTGTCGCCATATTTATTACAGTAGGATTTTTCAATTTGTCTCCATATTTTTGATATACAGTGTCCGTACCGATCCTTCAGTATCTCTATATTTCTGAGCTAAGGTATTATGCACACTATTTACATTATTCGGACTATTGCTCTCATCTTTGTCGCCATATTTATTACAATAATATCTACTGTAATAGATATGGCGATAAAGATGAGGACAATAGTCCAAATAATGTAAATAATGTACATCATACCTCATCTCAGAAATATAGACAGATAGCAATTCGAATATAGCATCAAATTTTATATTATTTGTATTCATTTGTTATGTAACTAAATACATACTTGTGAACAATACTTCCGTAAAACTTGATATTTTCTGTAAAAAAATCTTGATAAATATTATTATTTTTATTATTTTACTTAAGTTTAAGACAGTCCGGCATTCACAATTCCTTGCGGATAGCCAGGAAAAGAAATGTTGATCAAAACTGCCGAAAAATTTTAGGCAGATATGGCCGTAAAATTATCAAATGTTAAATACGCGCCACTTCCTGTCAAACGCGGCATTTAATGTTACATTTCTATGGGATATCCACTGAGGATTGAACTCACTAATCCATAGTAATGACCCAGCAAACTCATCTCGATAACCATTATGAAACTTCTAGGCGACAATTGTGTACTGGTGTAAAGTTACTGATGAGTGTATTATTTTTTAAATTACGCCGGACAGGTTTCGTTTCACGCTTGTTTCTGACCGTGTAAATATGATTTCTTTATGATGATTATAAGTTAAAACAAAAGACCATTGCCGTGATTAGAGCTTATCAGAGAAAGTTTAAGGAAACAGACGACAACATTCGAGAAAATTAAAAGAACGAAAGAGAAAGAGAAAGAGAAAGAGAAAAATACTATTAGCCGAAATAAATGTCTAGCTGGATATAGAGGTCATACGACCAGACAAAACAAGTAAAAAATCAAGCGGGGAAGAGTGTAGGTAAAAAAATAGAATGGAGATAAAAGAGTCCAGATGCAGAAAAGAGAAATTGAGAGAAGATTGTAAACAAAAAAAAAAAAACAAAAAAAAAAACAAATAAATAAAAGATCGAACAAAAACGAGAATAGTGTTTGGCGTTTGTTTATTTTTCCTTGTTTTCTTTTTGCAGATGTTTGTTATGATGTCTCCTCATGAAAAATTACAGTAAACAAAGAAAACAAAATACTAAAAGAAACGACTGTTTGGTAAGGAGAATCGAATCTCGTCTGATCAAACCAGAACAGGATGTCAGAGAAATGGGTGATGAGAGCGAGACTTGGGTGTTTGTGCTGGCAATTTCCGGCAAGGATCGACATTGCTTTCGGCAGCACTCAATAGCCAGTTGAGCATTCAGTGTATCAAACTTACTGTCATATCGTCATATCGTCTGTCTCAGTCTGTTCAATATCTATCTATCTATTTATCTTTCTATCTATCTCATCTCAGTCTTTTCAATATCTATCTATCTATCTATCTATCTATCTATCTATCTATCTATCTATCTATCTATCTATCTATTTCAGTCTATTCAGTTTCTATCTATTTATCCATCTGTCTGTTTCTCTCTATGTACAGTTAGATTAACACCTGCACCATATGTGCGATACACACACACACACACACACATATATATATATATGTGTGTGTGTGTGTGCGTGTGTGTGTGTGTGGATACTGCAGGCTCTAGAAAAGATAATGACTTCGGCAAGGATGAAGTTTAAGACGAGTAAATCGAGATCGTTAGTACTGAAGATTGGGATTGTGATAGAAAAGTTCCGTTTCAAGATTGCAGGAAATATTAGCCCGTCATTAAAAGCAAAACCAATTAAATGACTGGGAAAATATTCAATGCTAATTTAAAAGATACGGATGCTACCCAGAAATGTTTCACAGACTTCGAAGCAATGTTGAGCAAAGTGTCCAAGTCAGGGCTGCAAGGTCGTTTTAAATTATGGATAAATCAATATGCGAAAGGTTCTGTGGCCGCTGATGTTATATGAAGTGGCATTGACAACATTTAAGAAGCTGAAGAAAAAAGTGAACGGATATTTGAGAAGATGGCTCGCCTTACCGAGAAGTTTGATCAGTGCAGCTCTGAGCGCATTGCAACTCCATTCAGAGGGTTACTTGAGGAGTTTAAAGTGCCGAAGACAAGGGAGACAATCCTCTATAGGAATTCAATTATCCTAAATTTGCAGAAGTAGGGATAGAGTTGCGAACTGGGCGTGAGTGGAAGCCATCACACGAGCTCAGTACAGCAGAGCAACGGTTGAGACAGAAAGCCTCTAGTAGGATCAGTGGCAGTTGGCAGGCCAAATCTAAGTCACTGCTTGTTATACTAGAACATACCTATTCTATTGTTAATAGACTCTCCCACAGATAATAAGTAGTTGTAGTAGTAGTCGCCAGGGAGCTCAGTCAGTTGATGAGTCAGTCGAGGTCGGACATTAAAGTATCAACCACCACAACTAGATTGCTGCGTCATTAACTATTATATCAAGTTCCTAACGTTTTGTTGTCGAACCTAATTTAGGACCGACTGAGTGAAATACAAGCCTCCACTGTGAAAACTACTCTACAACAATGTTCCAATCCACGATGTAGAGAAGAAAAGAGCAGAAATACTGTCTTCAATATGAAGCGAGAGCAGGTGTGGAGGAAATTAGAGCAAGTAAAATGTTTTTCTTAGATTCAACAGGCGGTCTGGAGAAAATGGGCAAACCTAGAATAAAGGAAGATTTCCTGGACAGGTCTCTGGTATACTAATCCCAGTAATACAAGTTTTCATGTACAGACAGTGTATGATACATTGCCCATCCCGGAAAACCTCCACACGTGAGGAAATAGTGTATCTTCACTTTGTCCGTTGTGCCAGAAGAAAGGATCCCTCCAACACGTATTGAATGGTTGCCCCATGGCGCTAAACGAGGGATGTTACCGGCGGCGCCATGATAAAGTTTTACAGGCCATTATAAAAACGAGTCTCCAAAAAACAGATATGAACCAATTAGATGATGATGCCAGGGAAAAGTTAAAGACATCGCAGAAGAAAACACCCTTCCTCAGCTCTGTCCCGGACTGGTAAATGATAGTAATATGGGCAGGTAGCTTAAATTCCCAGTGGAAATAATACAGACTAAGCTTCGTCCAGACATAATTATTTGTTTGGAAAATACCAAGGAAGTCATCGTGTTCGTGCGTATTTTTATTAAACTGTATATTAATTTATTAAACACCATATTTGTTTATTTTATGTTAAACTGTGTATTTTATTTATTTTATATGGGATATTTTGTATTTAACCATGAGTTCCTATGTAAATTTTACCGTTGAGTTTCATCAAATGTTGATTTAATGTTTTTGTTTGGTGTGTATGGGGAAATTATATTATCTAAGGTTTTAGATAGCTGATCTATAATTTAGTCCATATACAGCAAACATCTCTAAACCAGCATCGGCCTCACCTTGTTTAACAATGGGAGCGGCGTGCTGAAAGTCATTTAAAAAGAGAAAGTATCCCAATCGAATTCCAGCCATGCCCAACACGCAACGGCTCGGGATAAACCTTCCTCCTAGATTTTCAAAAACCACACATTAATACATCTCACCGGGTGAAAACATGAAATGGAACTAACACCACTAAAAGAAACCTTTAAAATGCCTAAGGACATAGCTGAAAAAGCTTGGGACAATGAACGATACTGACTATTTTTGTACTGTATCATTCCCTTCATACGGAAAAATGTAAGAACGCCGGAAAAAATAAACATATGCCCTTCATATAATGTATAGGGAAAGATCTCTGTGGAGTATTAGATTCTCGAAATGTGATAAAACTATGTATTTATTCCTACATCCATGTGCATATCTTTTTAAATCTTAGTGTCTTCCCATTAATTCTTGTATGGTTCTAAGTTTGAGTTTTGAGTCCATACCTTCTAAATGTCATTAGACGATCAGTACGTTTTAAAAAACGTCATTGGTTACGTACTTTTCATTGTGTCCTTACTTGTGAAGAAAATATGGACGAAGTCCACGAAATATATATACAAATTGCAGAGGAATGCAAAAGGCGTGGTTCGGGAGCTCACTGCGAAATGATTGAAATCGGTTGCAGAGATTTTGCTGGGCGGTCACTATGTAACATATTTCCCAAAATTAGGTGTCACAGGTTTGGAAAAAAAAAAACAAGGCTATTCGCTCAACAACAATGGCAGCAAAAGAAGCCTCTAGATGGCTATGGATGAAGAGATCATGTGAATGGCATTAATTAAGAAGATGAAGTTGCAGTTGACATATTTTCATTTATTTTTCCGGGTGGGATAGCTTGACTATAACTTAAAACTTCACCCAACAATGGAGTCTCATCTAGGGTACAAAATTAGCGTACCCCGAACAACTGTTCCTTATGGGTGATCTGTGACTAAGATCTAGCACGTGTTTGGCTCCTTCCAGGTTTACGGTTCTGTAGATGTGTATGTTGGGATCTTCATGTTAATGTGTGTGTGTGTGTTTGTGTGTGTGTGTGTGTGTGTGCGTGTGTGCGTGCGTACGTGTGTGTGCGCGCGCGCGCAAAGGAGGAGGGTCACTTTTTTCCATTGGGCGGATGATTAACATGCGTGGAAATGGGATAAGAGTGAGTAAGTATTCACACACACACACACACACACACACACACACACACACACACACACACACACACACACACGCACGCACACACACACATACACACACACGCACGCACACACACATATATACATATACACATATATATATGTATGTATGGAAGAAGTTATATTTGTTTCAACAAGAGAAAAGTGTATATTTTAAGAAAAAAACTGCAAACGTTTTTGGTTGATATGTGGATTTTTTTTTTTAGAATATATATTATACTCTATTTTCCATAATTCTGCTACACGGGTTTCTGGTTTCTCGACTTTCTTCAAGCAAATAGTATGTATTACCATATGTTATAAAAATGACATTTTTGTGTGGTAGTGATTAAAGGACTTCCTTAGACTGGTAATAAGAGTTTATATTGCATATACTAGTCATGTTAATATTTCATTCTTTCCCGTGGTACGACGTCATATATATATATATATATATATATATATATATATATATAGAGAACATAGAACTCAACACTTTGCGGTGACAGTCTGTTTTTCGTTCAAGATGCAATCGTCTGGCCTGACGATTGCATCTAGCATGAAACAGACTGTCGCCTCTAAGTGTTGACTTCTATGTTCAATTTTATATTTACACACGGTCTATCTCTGATATTGTGCACTTTATCCCATAAATATAGCACATCTTAAGATTATATATATATATATATATATATATATATATATATATATATATATATATATATATATATATATATATATATATATATATATATATATATTATGCATCTTCAAGTATGAATTGAGTTCTCCGAGCCGCTAGCGTATTTCGTATATATAAAAATGTTAAATTTCCCTTTCTTTTTTTGTCGTGCGACGATATCAAATCAGTTGGGTTTCGATCCCGGCTTGAAGCCATCAGAAGTCTAGCTATTTATAGAAAGTATGGTTGCGTTTGCTTTGGTTGTGTTTGAACCAGAAATTATCTGGGATTGGCCTATAAATTGCCAAGGGGAGTCTCAGTGTGTCGTTGGCGTAAAATATTGTAGCTAACGGAAAGTCCTAACCCTATACCCAATCAGTATCGGCAGGGTCATCACGGTATTGGGATATGATGCAGAAAAACTCAAAACCCTTAATGTCCTCGGTTAGAAACATGACTGATGATGTGTACCAAATCTCCCAATAGATGTATTTTACGAAATATATATATATATATATATATGTTGGAGGGAGGATATATGACAAAGTGGAAAAACCTTTCATGTGACGCCTTTCATCGTATTATGCTTATGTTTACACTGATTCGACTAAACATGCAAAAGACGAGGGGAATTTTAAATTTAAAGTTGCTTTTTTTAATTGCTTTGTCTGTATAATCTAACCAATTTCATTTGTCTTTTTATTTCCATCATCTTTGTTATTAAATATTTCCCATTGTGATAACGGAAGATCTGGCAAGAATATTTAAACAATGTAAGATCCTGGGTGCATGTTTAATGTGGACGAACATGCGACTAAAGCACTTTCTAAAACGTTTTCTTCATAGTGAATTATTTCTCGTTTATTTAGAGTAACATTTTTATGTCATTATCGTGGTCGGCCTCGATACGGTGAGAAACTAATGCTTTTAATTTGTTGATTTTAAAATGCTCCTTTGTGATCATCTAAGCTTATGATTAGACTTCTTGATTTTCCGTCAATATATTCTTTCGGGTACACCTTACAGGTGATAGAGTAAATTCACAAATGTTTTTTCTTTTTTTGTAAAGATTAAATCTTTTATTATTTTAGATTTAGTTTAGGTATGACTAAAGTCATATATATATATATATATATATATATATATATATATATATATATATATAATTGATTTTTATTTTAAATCAATTAAATCAATTAATTTATAATATTAATGCTCTGTAAATTTACATTGAGCACTATTTTGTAAAAATAAAAATATCTATAAGAACACCGGATTATATATCTTAATGTTCTTTTTCTTTTATATTTATATATATATATATATATATATATATATATATATATATATATATATATATATATATATATATATATATATAGTCTATTCAATTGTGGTTGTAATAGTGCTAGGGTATACCACACGTTTTTGATTCCTTCGATATTCAGAAGGTGATTGCTTTTCCATTTTGGAATATTTTATGAATCTTTTGTTTCGGATTGAATATAAAATAGTTAGAGTACTGAAGAAACATTTTCAATATATTTCACACGTTTGTGAAAATATTGAAGGCTGCACATACTTGAAGCTTTGAAAATTGTAAGAATTGTAGTTTAAAAACAGTGCAATCGACCTTGCTAACCGAAACGCTCCTCTGTGGCTAAATCGCTAGAATACAGGATCGATTCCTGTTGTAGGACACATATTTTCTATGAAAATTTCTCCAACATTCAGGTCGGTAAATGTCGTTAATACTGTTTATTATAAACAGAGCATTTACTTAAATATTTTTACGTATAAAACGAACGTATAAACATAAAAAATATCTTTATATATATATATATATATATATATATATATATATATATATATATATATATATATATATATTGTTAATGCTGTTTATTATAAACAGAATATTTACTTAAATATATTAAAATAATTGTCGGGCTTTTTCTATTTCGTAATGTGTGATGTCATTTGTTTACATTTAGATACGATTCGCGCAGATATGTCCGTTCGAGAGAAATCATGGAAGGTTGTTGTTTACAAGCAGTAAAATCCACCTTGCTAACCTTATGCTCATCTGAGGCTAAACTGATATAGCTCATCAGGCCATATGACGGTCCCATGTAGGATACAGGTTCGATTCCTGTCGGAAGACATATCTTCCATGATATTTTTTTGGGTGTTCAGGCCGGTAAATGTTGTTAATACTGTTTATTATAAACAGAACATTTACTTAAATATTTGTGTCTATACAAATAACGCATAACAATAAAAATATATTAAGAAACAGAGAGAGAGAGAGAGAGACAGACAGACAGAGGCAGAGAGAGTTAGGTATGATAAAAAAATACATATGCTCACATATACTTGCAAGTACATATATATTTCTATCCCAGCTGTTATAAATATAGTGTTCAATGTGATAAAACAGAGCAATTAACATAACAATAATGTATTAAGCAAACACACAAACAGCACAGTAAATAATAATCCTATTAAAAGTTAATGCAACTGCCGTTATAACGAAACTGCCTATTAAATGGCCAGTACATGACTAACGTCACAATATACAGAGCTAGGATCAATTCAGACGATGGCGTTTAATATTACTTTGGATCCACCGAGAACACCTGGAAATCGCGTTTTTACCACTGCAAAAGGACACTAGCAGTAACAAATACAAAAACTGCACAACACTTTCAAAGTATGTTTGGCGATTATAAAACAACCATAAGAAACCAA